TGCCTGCAGGCTAGTCACATGACAAGTGACGACATAACACATTCTTCAGGCTAAAAATCTTTCAAGACAATGCAACTTCATTGGCCATTCTTGTATTTAGTTGTGATCTTTTCTTCTACTTCACAATACTGCACATGCTGCAAGCTTCATATTTTTATCCTCCTTACCCACACGTTCAAATGTAAATTACATTTCACCAGCAACATCAAAAGATCATGTGGTCAAAAGTCATGCATGGAAGAGCACAGGGCTAGGCCATGCTGGCAAGATAATCTCTGCAGCACACTGAACAATGCTATTCCCAAGAGGAAAAAGTACCTTTGGGATGTACTGATACTGAAATGGCAAATGAAAACAAAGCATGGGAAGAGAAGTATAAACAGTATCTTTTAACACTAAAGCAGGTCTCATCTTCTAACTAGGCAAGATTACTGCCTGCTCTGACACCCAGTAATTATGGTCCTGATTCATGTTATGCTACATGTGAAAACATACTACTAAGAGATACTTGCAGTCCTGCTCTAAAGCCAGCCTTTTTTCACCCAGAATAGCCTTGGCTGAGTCTGAGCAACCAAGAACAGATCTTTAAAAAGAGCTGTAAAGTGGTGATATGCAACTTTCTGCACATTATAGATTATGACCCATAATAAACTTGGCTCTACTTCATCACAAACACTACCCTAAGTGCCAGCAAGGCAGTCATATCCTGATGGCTGCCTCTGTTTTAGCAATTGTATTAGAGTAATTGAGAGGGAGTTAGTATAGAGAAGGAAATGTCATAAAACAAGTGTGGAATTGGTTGCTAGTAATGCCCTAGTAGAGATTTCTTCCTCTTTCTCATTCAAACACACCAATCGATGCACAATGGTGCAGCGAGCGTACTTTTTTTAGCGCAAGGTGAACAGATTTCATAGGCAAACATGGAGTTAATTATTGATCAGCAGTGAACATATGGTTCTGAAGTAGGTAAACCACAGAAGGGACACTTACCAAATCTGCTAGGAACAACTTGGAATAGAAGCCATCAAATAATTATCTTCACTTCTGCAAGTAGGCACTAAAGCCATGAAAGATTAACCTGTGAAACAGCTCATTTCGGTAGTTTAAAGTAGATGTGCTATGCCAAAAACTATGTAAGGAGACAAAAATAAAAGATGCCAGAGAAACTTATCCTTAATTTCAGACAATATTTTCAAAAGGAAGATGTTTATGTTTGTATTTGATGGCAGCACACACAAAACACATTCTGCATGCTGCTAAAGGCACACAGGGCATGTGACCTCTGTTGTCACAAACACACTACAAGGCAATAAGAATGTAGAACAGCATTTCAGATTGCCCTGGCACCAAAGGCTTCAGAAGACAGAAAATGATGCTGATTTAACCTAAATATATTTATATATTTTAAACCTGTATTTTTCCTTAGGAGAAAAGCAAATGTCCTTCATTAGAATCAAGTGTTTCTCCAGTCAATTCATTTGCCAAAACCAGTTATTTAACAGGACCCAAAACTATTTGCATAGAATTGCTTAATTCAATAAAGTTTCAGAGGAAAAAGAAATCTGTTTATCTTCCCAAAAATGTAAAAGCTACTTTCACTATTTTAACAATTTTGTCTAAGACCACAGGCTTGTGGTCTGGAAAAAATCTGAAGAAAAAGAGGATACATTAGCTTCCTCTCTTCAACAGCTGCATTAATGACATCTGACTCAAGATTTTGGACTGACACAAAGCAGCCTTTCCCCCCTCCTCCCCCTCCATGTGTTTAACTTTTGACAGAAAATATTCAGTTTGGCTTGACAAAGAAGTTTGCTCCTACTCAATGTTTGTCTTCTGTGTTCCAGTTTGTCTTCTTTGCTGAGAGATTTCTGTATTTGCCCAGGCTTACAACTGATATGCTACGTGGGAACAGCTGCCCTCATGCTAAGCCAGTCTGGCAGCATATTCAGCCTGGATTTCTTTCTGTAGAGAATAACAACAGTAAGGATATCAGTGCAAGAGTTTTCAACCAGGAGGATTTGCATCTTTTTATCATAAACCATTCTTGCAACTGTAACTGCATTATCAAGCAAGAGAGAGCATACATACATACCTACTTCCAACAATAGGTATGATATTATGGACAACTTAAATTTTTCTTCTTTCATATGGCTGAATTTTCTCCATGCAGGTATCTGTTTGTTCTTTTCAAATAGTAGACTTCAAACAGTCCTTACAAATTACTAGCAGAGAAAGTTATTTTCCAATAGAAAAGCAGATAGGGATGTTACAGAGAATAACAGAATCAGTAAGCTTTTAGGATCATTAGATAGTAAATTGTATCTGTCCCTACAGACTTCACAACGCAGATGAATTCAAAGCATTCTAGCTCTCTAGCAACAGCTCAAGCTGTTTGTTGGCAAGCTGGTTAAACAAGCTCCACTTTCCCACACCTAAAAACACAGCCACAGACAGACTAAGCTGAAATTGCCCTCTTTGTTTAACACTATTTCCATCCTTCATTATTTATAGCTTAGATTTCGATTAGGCTTTTAGAACACTAAACACAGAACTGTGCTTCCCACATATTGCTTGGAAGTTACTGCTTTGATTTTTTCTTCTATTTATTTTTTATTGGAAACAAGTATTTTTTTTGTATTTTAAAAACATTTCATGTAAATTGAGGACTAGGTATCTGAAGTTTGATAATAGAGCTTGGGATGGCCATTATTTTATATCTCTGTGAGGTTATCCCCTTTGCTTTATAACCCATTCTCTGTGCATAACTTTCCAATTCAGCAGAATCAAAACTTCAGCCATGTCTTCACTGCATGCAGCACCTGTAAACTAGAATGTACTCAAAAGTCCAAAATCAAGAGATAGAAATCTAGAAGGCAAGTAAAGAGCTACAGGAACTGGAAGATATGCAGTAGGACAGGGAGCAATGTGAAACTTCTCAGGAGTTACTCTGATGTAGGAACAAAAATCAGATAATAAATGACCATGCAGGTGTTGACAGAAGCTGTAACTTAGGTGACTATATTTGCATATATTTGTAGCACTTCTTACAGCAATGATCTTCAGATCTATCAGGAACTTTAAATATTAGTCCCAAAAGGAGGATTAAGGTACAGTACAACCTCTGCAAGTGTACCAAGGTCAAAGTTGCTTGCCTGGGTACAGCCACTTAGATATGCAACCAAGGAGGGCACCAGACATTAGGCATCAAGCATTGGGGTTTGTGACACCAGACATTTCTGTGCCAAAAGTGCCCTAAGGCATTAATCATGACGCTGACGGAAGCCATTGGCAAGTTCTCTTCCATTCTGCTGCGCCTCTGTTTTCCTACCAGGACCAGAGAAAAAGGCCTTCAATGGTTTATACTTTCAAAAAAATCACGCCACTTCTATCAACAGCCTGACAAGTAAGAACGTGGTATTTGATAACTCACTCAAGACTGGTGAAACTAACTCGCCTCCCTGAAGGAAAATAGACATTTTTTAGGGAGAAGGATGTTTCAAAAGATTCTGACACAGCAAAGGAAAAAACCTACATCACTACTGGCTATTTTAAGTCACACCCCCTCTCTTTGCTCCCCTCCACAACTCCCTATTTATTGGGTGGAGGACAGCTACTTCCTTTGTTACCAGAAAGCTCAAAACATCCTTGAGATTAGTCTGATAGGAAAATCCTATGGCATGACTCAGTGGATGTGGTTAAGTTTTCATAGGTTTCAGCTAGCATTGCTGTTCAGTTACACAGACATTGCTTAAGATATTGTCCCAAAAAGAGGAAGTGAAGAGACATGAAAAGAGGAAAGCCAGTTTAAGCATAGAACACAGAACCTGATCACAGAATCTCATGTAAGTAAGAGCATGGGACAGAGGACAGCTGAAACAGGGACCAGTTGTGCCAGGACAGGGACCAACCTTCCTCAACAGTAAATTTAGTGAACTGCAGACATCCAACTTCTGATTGCCTTGCAGAATGCAAGATGCATCTTTGGGAGACAAAGATACTGTCCTAAAAGCTAAACAGAGTTTAAGTGAACCTGGTAAGTATAATATATGCACACAGCAGATATAATAGTCCTCTCGTCCCATTATAATTAATAAAACCTTTACATTTTACAGGTCAGAAAGTGGCTGCAAAAGCCTGGATGCATCCGCAATATTTGAATTCACAAACAACTGTACATATGTATTCACCACAAGCAGGAGACTGTGCTATTAGACTATAGGTCAGTGTAGTTGAGGTAGACAAATATCAAGATTGAACCTTGCTCTGCCATGGCAATCTTCTCCCTTTACCCTCAGGCCAGAAAGACTGTTCTTACGTTTTACAAGATGAACAGACTAATATTCCTTCTTTGTCTACCAAAATATTTCATCTCAAAACATTAGTCTTGCTCAACTGGAAACCTAAAACACCTTTCGAAGATTGGTCATTTTACAGAAAGAGTGATCAGGCATTGGAATGTGCTGCCTGGGGAGGTGGTGGATTCACTGTCTCAGAGGTTTTCAAGATGAGACTGGATGTGGCACTTAGTGCCATGGTCTAGTAACCACAGTAGGGTTGGACTTGATGATCTTTGAGGTCTCTTCCAACCCGGCTGATTCTACGATACTTTTATAGTATATTTATTTTAGTTTAAGATGTAGTCAAACTTCCCTAACAAGATGACCCCTTATTTTTTTCAGATTTCAAAATCCTCCTCCAGCTAGAGGATACATAACCATTCATAACTAGGATAAAAAAACCATGTAACTTTCAAGTGAATTTAAATGGAAGGGGGGAAAAATTACAAATTCATGTTTTCAGGAATCAGCAATGAAACCAAAAGCATTAGCCTCCTACTACGAAAGCAGATTTCACTTTCCAACATACACAAAAATTATCTTCTGACTAATGGAAATTAAAGGTATTATGGAGGAAAAAAAATCCCACCTCTTAGTGCAGTGTCTGTATCGGAATGAAAGTGATTTATTTATATTACACACAAAGACTTTTATTAAAAAGGCTGGTAATGGAACATTTTATTTTAATGCATCAAGTTGATAAAAGATTAGTTACAGAAATTGTGTATAATGTGGTATAGGTCACATGGATGGGTTATTTAAAAAAAGATTTGACAGTCAGAGGAGCAACATCTATTGTTTTAGTTACATTGTAAAGTGCCTTGTGTAGTCATATTCTATCGTTGGAATGACTGCCTGTACAAATTTCAAGAAAATAAGAAGGTACCTGAGTTTCTTATTAAGGAAAATGTACAATAGCTAGAAATCCTGTAAAGCAAAGCACAAGTCACGTTCACTCCATGGTCTGCTCAACAGTACTGCTTGCTAAGAGGAAAATAACACCTAGCAATTATGCAGTTAAGAGACTGGGAAATTAAAACAGCAGAATTCTGGTAATGACATCTATGTGTTACTAAACATACAGACCTTCCTATTTTAAGCTGAAGCAGGGAAACAGGAATTATTTTCAACAAATCTTGCAGATATCACACAAACACTTACTATCCCATTTACATACTTACTATTTATTATTAACCATTGCCAAGGTGAATTGCACCCAGCAAGGCTAATCCCTAGCTACCTTCCTGTAGCTGCAGGAAAGCAGGCTCCTCTCCTCTGTCTCAGTGGCTCAGAAAAAGAAATAGGTTCCTATTCTGAACCATCCTTTGAATGAGCTCCTTCTTGTTTCTGAGGGAAAGTACAGAGATGAGCCTTACTAAGCTGAGCAGACTTTGTAGAGAAGAGTTCCCTTGCATGTATCACCTTCTAATGCATGTTGGGCCTGAGTTCGCAGCCTGGAATATATTGGATATTTACCATCTAAAGTGTCTGTCCATGTGGGAATGAGGCAAACAGGGAACTGAAAAATTAAAAAAATAAATCACCACTTTCAACTGACTATTAAGTTACATTGGTACAGGATAAAAGGACACCCTGCTCTTTTGACGTATCAGTCTCATGGACCACTTTATCACAAATACAAGCTACATGATAATGAAGAAAGAAACTGCATGTTAAAAATGCCTCAACTTGTTGAGTAATAACAAAAGAAAGTAATCAAAATCTTGAAAATAAGCTCTTTGTAGTTACTGAGGAGTAGGAGACTTGAACTACCTGGCCAGAGAAGTTATTTCCCAGCGCAGTTTCAGCTGCTTGCTGCACAAATTGAACAAGTTGCAACTCATACAGTAAATGAGTTTTACTGATTCAGGACCTATAGCTGCTCAGTAACTGTTCCTTCCTTGCCTTATAGCAGCAAAGAAGACTATTTTTAAAGGACACACTTCTAACATGGAAGTTACTTCAGTCAGAAAGCATAGTACCAATTACTACAAAGTATAACTAAGATCAATCACCTTGCTAAAAAAATTCTAATTGTGATGCATTTGATACTGATGTTTAGAATGGTTTTGGCAATTTTCATTGTTTTGTCAGCTAAATATTTTCCCAAGATATTGCTCACATGAAGAATAGAAAATAATAGAACCTCTACACCTTCCAGAAGTTAATTTCAGATTCCCATCTAATACAAAAGCTGCTGTACCAAGGTGTGATTACACTCTGGATGGAACCTATGAAACTCCAGTCTCACCCTCCTGCACTGGGATCTTTGTTTCATGCTCACAACTATCTCCTTTACACCCCTACAAACAAGAGCTCAATCCTGTGCCTTCAATCCTAGTTACTTTCCCCATTGCTCCTGCCACACACCCCCCTCCACCCCCCAACAACTTAGCTGTTTGCACAAAGGAGCTCATCCCAAAACTGCCACCCCAACCATTCATTTACTACTTTCACACACAACTGCATTCCATTTTAGGAACCTTGAGGTAACAGCTCCCTACACTCCAAGAATCACTGTGTTAACGAAAAAGGATACATATGAACTCCAAGTTCTCCTCCACCTTCTGCAACAGTCTCAATTATTTTCTTCATGACTTCTGCATGCCTGAAAAACAGATCAGAAGCAGAAAATATTTTAAGGCAAAAGTAACTCCTTGTTCATCTCAGTAAGATTAGGCTATGGGCAAATTAAGTAATTCTGGACTGTTAGCTTCAGAAGCAGCAAGAGGAAATTTTCAGTTTACTGCGAAAATAAAATCCCAACAATGTAATGCTATTTGCCAGCTCCTTACATTCACAAGGAAAGCAAAAAACGTTCTATGCTACAATGCAGACTGAGTGCCACAATGGGAATCAATGCACACTGTTCAACACTATTATAATTTTTAACTTCTAAATGCCAAAAAGGGCACCAGGTAAGTCCTCAGAGGGCAATCCTCATTAGCAGCAAGCCACCAGAAGTTCCCAGATGATCCTTGAAGAAGATGCCTAGAAACTGCTCCAACATTTTTAGGTGCCTTTAAATTTTTAAAGCTTAAGAGGTTTCACACACTAGAACAACTCATTGTTTCCCAGGAAAGTCAGGTTAAACCAACTCTGCACAGATTCAGAACTGTTGCTTTGGGATTGATTTAGGGTATGGAAATTTCCTCTGGTGGTAACTTGGGTTCTCTGGCAAATCAACAGTTTGTAAGCTAGTTTCTTCTCTCTTGTGACTGTGTTATTGTGAGTAACTACAAGGGAGGACAAACATTTCCTCAGGTCACTGAGCTTTTACATTCTCATCAGTGACACACCAGACCTACTGTGAACCACACAACATTTGTGTGCAAAGCTGATCCTGGGAATCTAACACAGAATTACAGATTAGCAAAGGTTGGAAGAGACTGGTCATCCTTGCACAATGAGCAGTAAACTAGAACAGATTGCTCATCAGGACCTTGTCTGGTCTGGTTTTGAATATCTTCAATGATGAAGACTTCAAATCTTTTAATGACAGTTACAATTTGGAAGTAATGGTCTTGTGCTCAGGACGGTGACGATATCCCATAAACTATGGCATGAAGAACATCCCAAGTCAGAGAACTACTGTACAGTTAAGCCATGATTTATTTATGTATTTTTAATACAAACTCCTAGGCTGTATAACTAATCTTACTTTTATCTACACTCCCACTTGGTTGCTGCCTCAGAACGACTGAGAACAAGGACCAGTAGTAAGCAGAGTCTGCGTAACCTTCTGATCATGCTTTGATACCATTACACAAATCTAAATAGCTGACCAGTCACTGGCATTTAGTAGCTACCTCCACAGTTAATCATACTGCCAGTGACTGCAAACAAGGAAGGAAGATGTTGCAAAGTTACCAAGATGCACTGTAAACAGAAACATGCAAGTCTGGGGAAGTACTAAAGGTCAGCATTTGTCATTTGCTGTTGGTCTTTACAAATCAACTAACCCTCACAGTTGATTCCAATTCTGGATCCTCACGATGCCCCTGCAGTCCTCATGACTTTTCATGTGCCAAGGCCAGTTGCTTCTATATAGGAACCTGGCCACTGTCAAAACTAAAGTTTTGACCTTATCTCTAACTGTGGACTGTATTTTTTCCTGGCACAGAATACAGGTCACCCTGCAGCTATTAGAACTCTTTAACAGCTCAACTTCAACAGCTCAACTTCATACATCTTAATGACATTTATTCTTTGCCATTTTCTAAGGACTAGTCAGATATCTGGAATTCTACACTGGCCACAGAATAATGGTCATTCTTATTGTCATACAATTACTCATGAAAAGCTTTGCAGGTGCTTTATAAATTTGTTTCCTGTTTTCAGTTTTCCTTCTATAAGAAAACTTGGAGGAATTAATATGAAATATGCATACAGTACAATGAAAAGAAATAACTTTGAAAAAAGTGAATCTAAAATATCCTGCTATCTTTTTTTCTTTTTAAACTTTTGAATAAGAAGCGAATCTAAAATATCCTGCTTTTTTTCTTTTTAAACTTTTGAATAAAAGTCCCCCAGAAACAACTCTTAACTCCAGATTACTAAATACACTAGGTGCTCATCAGTGCTTGTTCTTGGATCTGTTTGTAGATCACTTGAGCTATCAAACAGATCATGCCTTTAAAGCATATATTAAAATCACCTAATTTACTTTCTGGTGTATTGACCAACTCTTGAGGTGGTTCAAGTAATATAAATGAATTATTATTCAAATTCCAAGTCAGAAACACTATTGAAAATAAATTGAGATATACAGTTTAAACCATAGAGTACGGGCTTCTAAATAAGTTGAAAGCAGCTGATTTCTTAGATTGATTATTATGACTCTTTATGCTCCTATCAGGAATGTTCACTTTCCAGCTGAAGAACCCCTCTCCTGCTTTGCAATTGATCAAAGCTGTCAGCCAAAATATTTGTTGCTAACTTCACACTGGAATTCAGCACAGGTCTGGAAGGGAAATACAGACCATCAGAAAGTAAAAGTGAAAAACAAAAGCCTTCCTAACATATGGTGGAAAAAACCACAACACCAGATTCATTCCCACAGCCTCCCCCTGCTGCCCCAGCTCTTAGAGATAAAAGGCCTTCCACAGGACTTTGGTAATGGACAACAACTGAAGCTTCTGTAGAAGAGGGTAAAATGCAAGACATTTTAGGACAGTGTACTTTCACGGAAAAAAAAAGACCTATGCATTTGATTCAGTGCCTGTAACTGCCCACACACAATGGGACAGAAGAGGTGTAAAAATCCACAAATGTTACCATTAAGAGAAACATTTCAGAATCCACAACAGTTAACCATACAGTTCACTGCTCCTTGCAGTTGCCTTTAGTCATTTCCC